TGTTAAGTTTCTCAGGATCCACATAAGAGTGAAAACATATGGTATCTTTCTCTGTATGACTTATTTCACTTAGCATAACACTCTCCAGTTCCATCCACGTTGCTACAAAAGGAATACAGGAGTGCTGATGCATAGGGGCACTTGTACCCCAATGTTTACAGCAGCACTTTCAACAATAGCCAGATTATGGAAAGAGCCTAAATGTTCATCAACTGATGAATGGATAAAGAAATTGTGGTTTATATATACAATGGAATACTACTTGGCAATGAGAAAGAATGAAGAAGTTGTGTTTTAATCAGCTACTGAAGAATACTTAGGAATTGACTGATCAGAGAAAAAAGGGCAGGGCATTCCAGAAAAAGTCTGGCATATCATGACCTCAAAGGTCCATCAAGAGATAAGGTGGGAGATGAGGAAAGGATGAGTTTAGGGCTAACCTGTCAGAGCTGTAAATGCTTGTCAATGGACAATGATATCCCTCAAGGGCCATTAAATATCAGAACTATGTTTTATAAAGATTAATCTGATAACAGTTACGAGATGGCCTAGAGCAGGGAAAGGACTAGAACTGTTAAATCTCATTAGTAGATTCCTGCAATGATTCAAGAGGGAAGGAGAATGTGGGCCTTGCTAGGGTCAAGGAAATAGAAAAGGAGAAAAGCAAATGGATATAAGAGACATTACATAATTAACACTGCTAAGTCCTGACAAGTCATGGATAGGAGGCAGAGAAGGGTGAGGGAGATGAAGGAAGGAGTAAACTATGATGTTCAGGCTTTACATCTGGGGACTGCAAAAATCTTAGTACCATTAATCAAGTCATTTTTAGAGCAAAGAAGGCATGTTACATTTTGAACACACTGAGCTTTTAGAAGAAAAATAATCTCTACTATAATTTCATAAATGGGAAGTATATATGTGACTATGAATTTCTTTCATTCTAGAAAATAAACATAGGAAAACTTGCCCGAAATTATATGTTAGAGAGGAAAAGCATGAAATAATAGAAGGTATATGTGCTTCTTTGAATCTCAGCTGCACTACTTCATGTAGGCCAAGTACTTCACTCTTCAAAGACTATTGTGTAATCTGTAAATTGATGATAACATTATCCGTGATATGGGATTTTTGTGAGAACTAAACAAGAAACAGATCTGAAACAACTGGCATCTAATAAATAAATACAGTTACTTTCCTTCTTTCTGAAAATTGTACTTTAATGAGAAGATGCAGATACATCTTAGGATAAAAAAAAAAAAAAACACTTTGATATTCACTTTCTACAAGCATTTTTACAAAGGTACACCATCACCAACCACTCATGAACAGATATTTCTAGACCAGTATGGTTATCTCCCCAATACAAGGAAGTGAAAGGAAAATCACGTTAGTTTTACCATTACCCATCATTTATCCACCCCTTATCCAAATCAAGTGAACCAAATTATAGAAGCATTTAGGCATATTAATTGTGCTAATAGTAACAGGATTTCTATTTGGGATTAAAAGAAACCTAAAATCCTTAAATCTTGACTCTCAGAGACATATTTACATATCTATATAATTCTAAATCAATCTTTTGACCAGAGGATAAATGTTCGATAATGTGCTTATGTAAAAATACAATTCAATCAATAGGTATTTGAAATAAGACATCGAAGTAGCTATCTGTCAGCCAAATTAACTAACTGCTATTTCTAAGACTCTTCCTATGATGAAAAGGGAGTAAACTGTCTACTGAAGTTTTACTTAAAGGAGCTTTTGGCTAATAGTCCTTATAATTTTAAGAGACACGAAGGAACTTGAAAGACCAGAGAGAAAGGCAATGACAAAATTAAGAACACAGAATCTATCCCTGCCATGGTTCTCCATGGTTTTTTATCCAAAGAGAGGGCCATTATTTGTCCCTATATACTGAAGGTTAATTGTCCACATAACCTTGCATCCTAAAATGTGAGGTTAAAGTTCACAAAGGTTTCAACACAAATCTAAGTATTAGGGATATTCCATGTGTTGAAGGAATCAAGAGTGAGAAAAGGGAATCATAGCTGAGACAAAAGGCAGGATTTTCTATGACTTAGTCAAGGGCAGGATTTTCTAACTGAAAGAGGTCATGTGGGCCTCTGCAATTAATCCTCTAAGGAGTATAACTACTGACATGAACTATACTTTAAATAAGAGGCCACATATGTTTTTGGAGGAATAATGTGCCTATCAGTCAGATTCACTTAAATAGTTAAACTTTTATTAAATAGGAAATTGATAAGTGGCTGCCAGTTCTTCAATATGAAGAATAGCTCTCAAATCATTTAAAGGAAATGCTAATTTGGCTTCTTAGGTCCTAAAATATTTATTATTTTTAAAAGCTTTTAAACTGTTTTCTCACATGAATAACAAGATATACATTTTCCAGGGTTTTGATCAATGAATACTTACTATCTAATTAACTCTATAATTCAACACTCATAAAAAAAATAAAGTACTACTTTAAATAATACATCTGGTCTAAAAAACATTAATGATGATTTTTAAATAATTAATAATGATTTTTAAATCCCCCTTTAAAGAAAAAAGAAATGTATAGTTTGTTAATTTTCCATGTGAGAAAAGAAAGCTAGACAAAACAAATAATTTCTGTAAATAAACTCTAATTTAGTGGGATAACTACCCAGTAGAATACACTGAAATCCCACTAGAGAATTTTAAAATTTATGAGAGTTAACATTGTAAAGCAATTTATACCATTAAGTGCTGAAGAGTGATACTAATTCTATGAAAAGGTGATTAATATTGGTCAGAAAGTTTTAATTCCTGCTATGGAGACAGCTCCACCTGGCAAATGAAGCAGATTGGTTATAAATGGTATCTTTTGTTTGAGTAATTACAATTCTTATATCCAAATTATATACCCTTCACATTATTTGTCACAGCATGAAACATACGATCAAGTGGTTTCAAAACTACAACATTATGAAATAATTGATTTATGCAAGGAATCTCAATGCAGTCTCTTTTCCGGATTGGTACTCAAAGAAGTAAAGCTTATTCTAGTGATTTTTATCATTTTGGTTTAAATATAAGATGGAGAAGAATTTATGAAAACATTTTGCATGTATGCTGTTTTTACTTAAGGGAACTGTATAGCATATCATCTTGTTAATTCCTCCACATTATCCAGATGCAGTCAAAATTTTGATTCAGTAATTTATCATTGGTCTTGATTAGACATTATTTTCACACATTCCATCAATAAATTCATCCCTCTAAATCTTTTTTCTTTAATTCTCCAGCAGTACTTAGTTGATGCAGGAAAGGAAAATAGTTCTTTCTAGAATTTCTTAGCTAAATACTCCTGACATTGAGGGCAGAAGGAATGGTTGACGGTAAATTCTTTTTTGAGTGCCATTCTGCAGCCTTATCAATATTTCTAGCATTCCTTACTGGTAAAAGGTAAACCTCAACCTGTATCTTCCTCTTATACATGTCCATTTCTGTGGCTTATGGTAGTTTCCCTTAAACACACACACACACACACACACACACACCCCTCTATGGCCTTGCCTTCTTTTCTGTAGGCAACTCTTCAAAGCTAGCCCATCCACCTTGACTGAATCCCCTCCAAAATCATTAGGGACCTTACACCATTAAATATTTTCTTCTCTTTATTCTTCAACCCCCCATCCCATTTTATTGACTCCTTCCCTTCAACCAAAAATTATCTCACGTCTTTCACATCTGAAAAATCCTTGGTCTTAGGAACTACCCTTTCTGCTAAGTCACAATGCTTAAAACAGTCATATTCACTTTCTCACTTTCTAATTTTTCTCAGTCACAGCCTGGCTTCTGCTCCCATTCCTCTAATGAAACTGTGCTGGCTTTGGTTACCAATGGCATCTATGTTACCAAATCCAGAGAACACTCTCAGTCCTAACAGCACTAGATTCCTGCTGCCTTAACATTGTTTATCACTCCCTCCTTTTTGAAATGCTTAATTTTCTGGGCTTTTATTACTACATGACTAGAAAAGAGTTAACATTATGGGTCTGCCTGCTATCCTTTGAAAGGATGCTCACAAGTTTGGCCCTTGGTGTCTGGGAACTTGGATTTTGAAGGGTTTCCTTCATTCTGATAAGACTGGCTCACTAAACTAATATAACAATGTGGGTCATACTTTTCTTCTGTGAGTCTGGAATTTTGGCACATGCTATGCAGGGGGTGCCCATGTGACAGGCCTCATTAAAAACACTGGGCATCAAGTCTCTAACGGGCTGCCCTAGTATATAACATATTTCTTATATGTCCCAACTTATTGCTGGAAGAATTAAGCCCATTCTGTGTCACTCTCCTAGGAAAAGACTTGTAGAAACTTGAGCCTGGTTTTCTCTGGATTTTGGCCCATATGGCCTTTTTTCTTTGCTGGTTGTGCTTTGTTCCTTTTGCTGTAAGAATTCATAGGCATAGCATGACTAGATTCTGAGTTCTGTGAGCTCTCCTTCTGAATCACAGATTCTGGAGGTGGTCTTGGGGATCCTTGACCCCCTATAGAAGTCTTCTACCTCACTGACTACTCCTTCTTCAGCAAAAAGCCTTGTGAGATCTTAAATATTGACGTTCCCTGGGGTTCCAACCTCAGTCCACTACTCTTTTCACTAAATCAATCCTCCTGTGAAAACTTATCTACCTTATGACTTTAAATTATTGTTTAAATGTTAATAACTCCCAGATCTATATTTTAAAGACTAACTTCTTCAGGCTTCAGGTTTTTTATGTATTTGACAGAGAGAGAGAGAGAGAGAGAGAGAGAGAGAGAGAGAATCCCAAGCAGGCTCCTCATGACATGGGACTCAAACCCACAAACTGTGAGATCATGACCTGAGCTGAAATGAAGAGTCCGATGCTCAACTGACTGAGCCATTCAGGTACCCCTGGGCTTCAGATTCTTAAATCCAACTGACTTCTCAAGTTCTGCATAGGCACCTCCAATTCAACATATCTAAAATAAGCCTACCATCATTTCCTATCTTCAACTATCTGTACTTCCTCCCCTCCTCCTCTATCATCTATTTACTCTGCTTCTCCTGATTTCTCTCAGTTAATGGCAACAATGTCATGCAGTCTCCCAAACCAGATAGTTGGGAATCAATCCTTCCCCTCTGTCAATCTACACAGCCCATCTTCAAATACTACTCATTCTTCCCACTGAGTATTTATTGAGCCCTTTCCTCCTTCTTCATCCCAACTACCATTGGTCTAGTTTCAGACCCCCTCACAATTCATCTAAACTATGGCAATGTCTCCTGACTGATCTTCCCACCTCTGATCTTGCCCTACCCAAATCTATATCTATATTCCACTATATATAGTCACTTAAAACTCAAGTCTGACTATGCAACTGCTTCACTTATAACCCTTCAATGGTTCCTATCACCAAAAAAAGTATAAAAGCCTAGTTCACAGCTATTGGATAGGAGCCTGTCTAGTACCATTGAAGCACTTGTAATTCCCTTAAAGCAAAAAAGCATGTTGTGGTTTCAGGCTTCTGTGCCTCATGCTGTTCTCTCTGCCTGGAACATTTCTACAGATTCTTCCCCAGGCAACATGGAGCCCACTTTGTAGCCTCAGCTAATGAGTCCACAAAGCCTTTGTGAGAATTTAGTCCTCCAAAGGTTAAATGCCCTTCCTTTGTACTGTATAGTACATTGTAAATACTGCTATCAAATCAGTGAACACTTAACACATTACATTTGGTTACTGCAAATCTTCCTCAATGAGAGCATAAAATGAGAGGGGATTTTCATTGTCTTAATCATCTTTGGTCAAAAGTGGCCAGAGCTAGGCACATAATAAACTGGTATTTAAGAAATATATCAATCTCACTACACCTGACAACACTTTTAAGGCATGAAGAATTTTACAAATGTAAGATATGATGCTAATAGATAAAAGAGAATACCTGAAATTAAGAATCCACCTAGTTCTCTGGAGAATGCTCAAATCATTATATAAAAAGAAAAACCTCACTTCTTTTATTCAGTATAAGTGCCTTCTATGTGTAGGCACTATATTCAATAGCGACCTGATTATCACAAAAAACTGTGTGAGGTGAATATTGTAACATACAGTTTTCAGAGGAAGAAACTGAGGCTGGTAATTGTCAAAATGGAGTTTGAACACAAATCCACTGGACTCCAAATTCTGTGTTATTGTCCCAATATGTTGTGCAATATTAGTTGAGTTTAAAATCAACCTAATTTGATTACCTCATCTTCACAGATATCAGTCTTCTTTCCTTTTTTGTCTTCTTTATCTTCTTCATCCTCATCATCTTCATCAGCTTGTTCATCACTATCATCATCATCATCATCATCAAAATCACTGTCTCCTCCCTTCCTTCTTCGTTTGCGTCCTGGTGTGGGGGTGCCCAATGGATGCTGTTCTTCTCCAAGATCAATGCCACCTGACGTGTCTCTTTTGCCTGTTTTCTTAGCATGAATGATTCTGAGCCTTTAAATATGAAAAAAAAATGATGATATGGAAGAAAAGCCTTCTCTCTGTATTTTTTAAAAAACATGAGTTTTAAATAAAAATACCATAAGGTATTTTTGCCAGTAAGGAATAAATCAATGACAGTGAAAATTGGAATTAAGGAAATTTAACAAATATGTTTCCTGAAATTATAGAATATATTAACTTTCAAGAATTATTCAGGATATCCCTTTGGAATTAGAACACATTTAAAAAAATAAAACTTAGAAGGCTGAAAAGATTAACTCTAGCAATGGCCAAGTGATAATTCCTGATCTCATACTATCAGACTGAATAAATTTCAATTCAAATTACTGCAAAGAAACTACCCTTTTAACACAGAAGTTGCATAATTTCCTGGCAGGAGGCTAATTAGGTTTTAATGCTGAATACATTTGGATATGTTAGACGCTCTGTAAAAGCAAACTTTAATTAGAAGGCAATTTTTAAAAAGAAGTAGTTCCAAACAGATTCTATTTATGACAAAAGTAACCGGATGGCAACAACAATCTTAGAAAATGTGATTGTTTGACTTCTTTGAAATAAAGATAAATGGACTGTCTTCTAAGTTTGAAGAATATGAGCTTAATGAATCTCATTATATCTCTTGTCCATTGTAAATTCTGACCCTGAGTTTCATTAATTTCACATCTCATCTTAATTAAGCTGTAACTTTTCTAATTCTTAGATGAAGTTAAAAGTCTATCTTTGCAATTTCTATGTTTTACAGGGGAATTTGTACAAATGAAAACCAGTAAACTAATTTTAATAAAACAGGACTTACTTGCGAAGTTTACCTTCTACTACCCATTTATCTCTCCTCAGGTTTGACATATAATCAATGTTCTTGTCAATTTCACTGTCAATGCAAAAATTCATTAGAAGACATAAATTAATCAATTATGTGACACTTTGATAATTTGATTTGGTAATAAGCAAATTGATAGTTTTTCGTTAGTAAAAATAATGATTGCCTATGAATAGCAAAAATAATTGAAAATTATATTAATATATTATCATAGCTTAGAGACATAGAGAAAACTTAAGATGTCCAATAATGGTAGAAATGCATGGCTCCAAAATATTTTGATTGATCCTTTTCATACAAAGGTAAAAGACTAAAACTAACATATTTAAATCTGTAAATAACAAATAGCAAGAACAAGATGAACATGGATTCATTCACCAAATCTTGAAATACTAGAGTGGAGAACTTACTTTGACTCTTGAATGAGGTTAAGTACTTTAAAAAAAAGCACAAATAAATTGATAAACTAAAATTATTAATATTGAATTAGCACATAATAAAATAAAAAGTAGCCAGGTAATTCTAGGAATGCCTTACTAAGGAAAATCAGGTAGTCATCCATGATTGAAAGATGTCAAAAAAAGAAAAATTCTGGATTCTTTCATTGGTGCTGGATTCTGGCACCACAGCAAAAATAAAAAAGCAAAACAAAACATTTTTACATTTCCATATATAATTAACAAAATTATTATATAAACAAAAGACTATATTTATAGTCTTTTAAATATAGTTTAAAATAAATATAGTTTATTATATAAACAAAGACTATATTCAGTATGATCCCAATTTTTTAATAGACTTCAAAGAAATACATTAAGATATTATTAGCAGTAATTATCTCTGAATGGTATGATTAACTGTAATTGTTTTCTTTGTGTTACTCTGTAATTTCAAACTTTCTGTAAGAAAATTTGTATTTGTGATTAGACAAACTCAAAACAGAAAAGAATCACCAACAGAAAAGTCTGGGTATATGCTTACCTCACCACACTCTTACTGCATGCCAGTTCATTGATCAGGAAAGCCAAGACTGAGGCTTTCTGTGCTGGAGTATGAGCCTGAAAAGCTTTGGTTTTCAGGCTTTCTGTAAGCTCAGTTTGTCCACAATGGGCTTCCATAAAAATCTGCAAGATCTCGGAAACATTGTCTCGGTTCACACCAACATTCAGCAAATGTTCTCCAAGAGCTGTTTTGGCCTATAAAAGTTTGGCATTTTTATCAGTATTGATCGTAGCCATTCGTAACATAAAAACAGTAAGATTTTAAAATATCGGTATCACATGATATAGATATTACTGACAAGGACTTTATTCACATTCAATCAGTAGCGCTGTGGGGAGTAGGTTCCAGAGCACTAGTACTGTGGTGTCACGGGTTCTATTGCCTGCTATACTGAATGGATAGGGAAATGGAGGAGTAATTAACAGGCACATCTGGGAGCTTCTCACTGTACAACATATCAAATGTGTATCTTAGTTGAAATTAAGATAAATGTTAACATATTGGGTATCCACTGAGCACTACAGAGTTTTCGTGTGCTGGTCTGTAGATGCTTTGATTAGCCTGAGTTATTCACAGTGATTCAGAGAGAACACAGTATAGTTTTGGAAAGCACGCATAAGTTCTAATTGCTTTATGAATTATGAATCCTGTTTTGTTTAATATCACATGGGTATTTCCTTAAGTCAACTTGGTTTTTGCTGTCAGCTACAGAAAAAGAGGAATTTGGGAATGATCTATATTCCTTAGGTTCTGTGAATCAGATTTTTCTAGGTTTGTACCAATTTAACCTGAAGCAAATCTACATTTAACTTGGTGAGACATGTGGAAAAAAACTGGATCAGTCTATACAACCTTCTGCTAATATGCTAACACCAGCTAACAATTCACGGATAGTACAAATTTTTAAAAAATTTATATTTTGTTTTTTTTTACCTTGTATCCTGTAATTAGACCTGGATCACATACAGCAGCTGAGAGGAGCCTCACAAGCAAGTCTTGTACTTCACCCATGCTGTCCCCTATATTTAGCAATCCCTCTTGAAGAACACTCAGGTTTGGAACATCAATATTCACATCAAAGCCCAAAACTTTACCAAAGTTTCGTAAGAACTGCACCACCATGAGACAGTCTGAAAATGTACTTCCAGAGAGAACAAGTCCTGGAATACGAGGCAAATCTGGCAAAGGCTGAAAATAAAATAAAATAAAATAAAATAAATAATAAATAATTTAAAAGCCATGGTTTTATATCTTCTGAGGTAAAACAGGTTGCTATCTTTCTTTTTCCTGTATTATACCAGTGATTTTCCCTCTGGATTTTAAATCCCCTGGGGGCATTTCTACAACCCCATGGTATTAAGTATAGATAGGTTCTTGATTGCAAGTAACCAACAATAAATTTTGGTTGAACTCAACATGAACTTAGATTTCTGCAAAAGAGAACACTAACTTTAATTAACTTACATATTTATAAAACATAGTTTATATAGCTGGAGCAAAAATTAGATAACATAAGGAACAATTTGGGGGTGCCTGGGTGGCTCAGTCGGTTAAGCAACTTACTCTTGATCATGGCTTAGGTCATGATCTCATGATTCATGGGTTTGAGCCCCGCATCAGGCTCTGTGCTGAAAGCATTGAGCCTACCTGGGATTCTCTCTCTCTCTCTGCCCCTCCCCCCACTTGCTCTCTTTCTCTCTCAGAACAAATAAAAATAAACTTTAAAAAAAAGAAACATTTAATTCAGAGACTTTTTTCTTGAACCTTATCATACACACACATTTCCATATGATTCTAAAAATGTATATGACAAAGCTAACAAAAGTAAGGCTTAAAATGAACATATATTTGATACAGTGCATATGGATTTAAATAAAAAGAAAGATGCAGAAAGATAAAGCTCATTTGATGTTAAAAAATATTTACTCACTATGAAGCTTATTAAATCTGTTAACTACTGTATATTCCCATTCTGGGCTTAGGAAATTTTCAACATCCAACTGAGTAAACCTAGTATGTATACTTTCACTTTTATTTACAAGCATTTATGCTAAGTAAATAAATAGAATATTAATACAATTAAATCCTCACTAGAGTGTTAAAAGTCTGCTTTAAGCACTTTATTTTGTTTTTGTTTTTAGTTTTTTTTTTTTAATATTTATTTATCTTTGAGAGAGAGACACAGTGCTAGTGGAGGACAGGCAGAGAGAGAGGGAGGCACAGAATCCAAAGCAGGCTCCAGGCTCTGAGCTGTCAGCACAGGGGCCAAACTCATGAACCGTGAGATCATGACCTGAGCCAAAGTCGGTCGCTTAACTGACTGAGGCACCCAGGCGCCCCACTTTAAGCACTTGAGAAGAGAGCCTGCACAAATCAAGAGACAATCACTATTTGTATATCAGATGACTATGGCATATAAGTAAATATAGATGCTATTGATAAGTATAATAGTATTAAGATAATATTGTAGAGATGATATGCAGTATCGATATAATTCTCTAGAAATACCATCTTCTTAGCTATAGTCAAACAAAATGGATCTCTATTCATAAACATGTGAAATCATGCCCGATACCAAGATTATTTTGCTCTTTCCACATGTTTACTTATATATGTTTACTTTATTATATATATATGAATATATTTTAGCCACATTACATGTCTGTGAAGCATGATAGAGGAGAAAACACATATGAGGTATTTTGGCTGGATATACTTCCTGGCTTTCAGTGTAATAAACAGTATGAACTCTGGAATTGAACAAACTAGAGACTGAATCCAAGTTGCCATTTATTAGCAAGTTTGATCTTGGGCAAGTTCCTTAACCTCTTTGTGTCTCAGTTTTCCCATCTGTAAATGGCCATAATAAATACCAGTTCCACAGGACTATGGTGAGGATTAAATGAGAGAATTTATAAAGCACTTAGCACACTGCCTGGCATGTAGCAAACATACTCAAAAGTTAGCTATAATTACTAAAGCATTGAAGGAGATTATAGATTATAAACCTTAGTTTATGTAAATATCTATAGGGGCGTGGTGAGGAGTTAGAGATTTCTGTACCTAAATGCCTGGAAAGAATCAAATGACACATAGAAATCCTATCTACTTCTATAATTCATCTTTACGGATTTCTTCAGTATTTCTACTTAAATTTAAAAAGGTTTAGGGGAGCCTGGGTGACTCGGTGGGTTAAGTGTCCAATTCTTGGTTTGGGATCAGGTCATGATCTCATGGTTTGTGAGTTCAAGCTCACCTCAGGGATTCTCTCTCTCCCTCTCTCTGCCCCTCCCTGGTGCATGCTCTCTCTCTCTCTCTCTCTCTCAAAATACATAAACCTACAAAAATAAAAATAAAAAGATTTACAGTGTTCCATTTACGTACTAAGAAGTACCATTATTAGCATAGGAGCTCTAGAGAGGTTTATTGGTGGCCATCCAGGAAACACAGATTGACCTAGACATGGAAATGTACGGCTCTGGTTAAAAACAAAAGGCTTTCATAATGGCAACTCTGGCAAAGGAATCAGGTGAGATGAGATACAGAAAAATTAAATTTATTAATGAAATGGTTACATAATAAATTACCTTTTGGTCTGCTAAGCACATGTCTTCATTAGGCTTCTTTAGTTCCTTTGCCATTTCTAATTCTAATCTTCGTTGCTCCAGTTTACGCTCTTTATTTAATCTTTTCTCATCACGTTTTTCTTGCTTCAGCCGTTCTTTTTCCTTAAAAATAAAACCATGTCCAAAAGTCTCTTTAATCACTGGATGTGTCTGAAAAATCTCCAGTTAACATTTAAAAAGTTAACAAAGTGTTATTATTCCCACAAACAGAATTCCCCTAAGAGATTTAGGAATAGACTTTGAACTACATAGAAACAATGACTTATTTTGCTTTTTAGTGTTTTCACCCTTTGAATTTCAAATAGTCTTATGACTATGTGTGTGTGTGTGTGTGTGTGTGTGTGTGTGTGTGTGTGTGTGTGTGTGTGTTTATATTATCGATACTAGTTTAACTCAGATTATTCCATTATTCAGAATTTATTCAATCCTTCCCCAGGTTACAATAAGAGAATGAAATACTTATTAATAAGAGCAGATATATAAAATGCACATGGCTAAATAAATAAAAAATATGGTTAGTTAGTATTAATACAAGTTTTTGTGTAGCTCTAGGAAGCAAGGGAGGATTTACAGCATGAAAGCAGAAGCAACATGCTTGAATTGCAAAAGCAGTTCTTTCAAAGTGCATTAGCTAGTCTTAAGATAGCACCTGAAACAAAATCAAAATATTATTTGCCACTATAAACAACACTTAAGGGAATGTAAAATGGATTCTGAAGGCAATGCCAAAAGCATTCAAAAAATATTTTCAGTAATGACAATAATATGGAAATAACTGTCCTGTCTCCCTGTTGTAGGAGATGACACTCTGCTGGAAGAAGAAGTCACGATATTTTCTTTAATAGTATTAGTGTCATTATTTTATTGCCATGCCTCAAATACAATTCTTATTTAGAGGAGAAATAACAGTAGAATCATCAGGCGGTTCTAACCTACTATCTCACACATTTGACACATTAATGATGGGTTTACTTTAGTAAAGCAGGTCATGTCTCTTTCTTGATTAAAAATCTTTCAATTTTGTTTTTAATTTTTAACAAAATAAAGTCCAACTCTTTACTTTTGAATTAAAACTCTTCTTTTTCAATCTTATCTCCCATTTTTGTAGTTTATGTGGATTTAGTCCAACTATTTGCTATTCCTGATGAACATCTTGTTTCCTTACCTTCTTATATTGGTGCGCTCCAATCAGGAAGGTCATTACTCCCACCTAGTGGATCTGAATCCTAGTTAAACACTACCACCTCTTCTCTATTATCAATTTATCTTAATTCTCACAGCCCAACCTATAATTTTAACATTGCACTTATTGCTTCTTATTCTATAGTAGCATTTTTGCCCATATTCTAGCTATCTCTGTTTCCATTATCATGGCTAAGACAGCACATTGAGTGCTATGCCACAAGGAATAGGGGTAGGTGGGGGACAGAGAGGACTGGAGAGGATATATTCCAGGCAGAGTAGAGAAAGCACAGTGTATGTGAGAAATTGCTAGTAGTTTCCAGGGTGGAGTGTAGGTTGCAGGTTGAACAGGTGCTGAGTATCATGATACAGAGCCAGAGGCTGGGTCATGAGAGCCTTTTTATATGATATGCTCACGTCACTGCTCATTTTTATACTGCCTCTAAATTTCTGGGTTACTGGTTCAAGCAGGCATTTGGAAGGAAAATGTTAAGGAAGCTACTCTGTGAGATTATTGACACCAAAAAAGCGCTACAACTAATCTTATTGATTATAACTAAAAGTTTCTGAGGGTCTAATGACATAAAATATACACAATTAAGATGCAACATTCCCACAATGCAGTATAGATTTTTCAAATCAAATTATCATTGGTAGAACAATTTTTTCCCAGAGTTGGATTTTCAATTTATAAACACATGAAATGTTGCTCTAAGAATTTTTCCAGGGAAGGGAAAACTTTTTGGTCACTCAACAGAATAATGAATTATAATCACCAACAGAAAAAAACAAATGTCTCATAGATTTCAAAGTGGCTGGTGTAAAATTTTCTACTATATAGGACTAACCCAGAATTCTAATCATTAAGAATCTTAATGATGTTCATAACAGTAATTACAAAACTAAAAATTGAGACTAAAATTCACTAAAAACTGTTGAAAATGGTCACCATTTCTTTTCAAAAAGAGAGAAAGGGCATGTGTGACACTAATGCTCTCTTTGTTGTGCCAACTTCACATTGGTGGCAATCTGGGGGTATGTAACACTTCAATGATACATCAACAATGAGTTAAAGCGCATTTCCTGTCATGAGGTAAATATGCCTGACATTCTTGAATACCAGTTTTAGCTAGTGATAGGCAGTATTTTTTCCAGTTAAAAGCATGGCTATAATATGGAATAGAGGGTAAAATGACATCAATTTTTAAGATAAAACAGAGCTTTCCAAGAAATGTTAGAAATTTGTAGGACCTTTATTACTTAAAGACAGGTATCCATTCTTATCTTGAAGTATTAGGGATACTTCTCAGGAAAGATGAAGTTTCTAAATGCAACGAATTTGGTGAGTTTACTCACTAATTTATTTAATGAACCTTAATGAACTGTATAAGACTAATATAAATCCTGTGGTTCAGATACAAGATAACTTTCAAAGAACTAGAGCTTCTGGGTCCCCTCAACAATCAACTAATATTTAAAATGGTTTATAAAGACAGTCATGATCTAGTCCCACACAAGTTTTGGTCTCCTATGTCATGATTCCCAGTTCATTTCCCATGTTCTGGTTACATTGTGTGATACACCTGTGTTGAGAAGATAATGTAACCAGATTGAGGCATTGTTTGGAGGAGGAGGAGGGGGAGGATGATGATGATGAAGAAAAAGGACAAGGAGGAGGACAGGGAGGAAGGGGAGAAGTAAAGAGAAGAGGAGGAGGAGGAGGAGGAGAAGGAGAAGAAGGAGAAAAGCAACAAAGCCAAGGTAGGTGCATACATATGGTGAAAACTAACTCCCTCTTTGCACCTTCCTCCTCTCTGTCCCACAGGTCATTTTGAGTTACAACACTGTACCTTTGTATACGCCATCTCCTCTGCCTGTAATATAGAACTTCTCTTCCTTAACACAGAAATAAAGCCTGGTTTTTATTCTCCTCATAACTAGTTCAGGCATTTTAATATTTCTCTTTTGGGGGGCTCCCATATAACTTAGCATTTATTGCACTGTGTGACAATTACTTGTCTAAAGTTGATCTTTTCCGCTTTAGTGTAAGCTTCTAGAGGTCAGAGGAACAAACTTATTCACCTATTTCTTTATGGACCTATTCAGTTCCCAGGAGTACAATCTGCCAGACACTTCAATGAAGTTTTTAATGATTTTATCTTTCTCCCGATCAAGCCTGTATGAGTTCAACTTTCCTCTCCCACTGGTCTCAATATTGTTCTTATTTCCATCTACAATAGTTGTCATATGTCTTTAACAGAAATATTCAGTGTGCCTTAGCAAATAAAAATTATTTAAACATTGATTAATTTGCTGAATGATTAATTCCACAAATGCCATATAAATAATGATGTTAACATTTGTACTAGTCATTAAACATATTTGATAGTCAATTTTTTCCTCTACTTTTTATATTTCATTCTGTGGACAAACATAATTGACGTCTTCTATTTTCAATTATACACAAAAGCAGATTTTAATACAAATTAATAATATTCTACTTATATTTGCAAATTTCAAAATATCTAAGACATATTTCCCACATCTACTCCAAAATTATTAATTTCTTAATCATTTTAACTGCATACATTATGATTGGATGTGCTTGCAAATACACCTTCCCCATATCAAAATTAAATAGATTTCTTATTATCTGATACTTTTTTTCAGAAACTAAAGTTTAAAGTGGGTGTGCTATTTTAGGCCAAATTTAAAGATGTTTAAACTTGTGTAGTATTCTCTCTTCTAGAACTGATATACTGTTTGAAAGAGAAATATTTACCAACTTTTCACCCAAGCCTTTTCATGATATAATATTATGTTTTGTTGCTATGTCAAATACTAGGATTTCACAATGGAACTTTCTGATTTTGCAAGGACATTTCACAACAAACCATTTGACCTAGCAGAGAAGACTTAATACACCTATCACAATATGAAAGGAATGGTAAAACGTATTTTACATTAACATTGGTTAGACTTTAGGGAAATAACTGAGATTGCCTACAAATGACTAAAAAATATAGCTCCTGACTATATTTTAGATTGACTGTCAATGACGATAAACATTAGTATGGTTTCTCTTAATTTTTTTTGGCCTTCGTCCTCCTACCCCCTCTAGTTTTCTAGATGTAGAAATTCTTTTTTTTTTTTTAATGTCTATTTATTTTTGAGAGAGAGACAGAGTGTGAGCAGGGGAGGGGCAGAGAGAGAGGGAGACACAGAATCTGAAGCAGGCTCCAGGCACAGAACTCGATGAGGGGCTTGAACTCACAAGCTGTGAGATCTTGACCTGAGCCGAAGTCAGATGCTTAACTGACTAGACAGGTGCCCCTAGACGTAGACATTCTTGAAGTAAATGAATTCTTGGAATATAAATAATGTATAACAAAATATTAATTTGTTCATCTTATAGTAATGGAATTTTCTCTATCAAAATATTACTGATATCTTAAGAAGTCCTTTAAATTTCATTTCAAAGTTGAAACACCTTTTCATAGCAAACGCATTAAATTTTGATTATCCTAAATAGCCCAAAATACATAGGGTGAAAATTTCAAAATCAGTTTTTTACTCACATAAAAAGATTACTTTATGGACTCTCAAGGCATAAATGACAGTATTTACAGAAATCTGTAGCACAACAATAAATGTATGAAATAAATTTATTCTATTTTAGTATTATAGAAGTTTAAAAACCAAACAATGGATGTGGTAGAATGACCTGCTATTGTAAACTTTTACAACTTATCAGATGGCAAAATAGGACATTTTTAAGAGACCATGTTGCAAAGATGCCTATGTTTTTTGCATTTTACGATGCTACTGGGTCTCTTAGGTGTTTGTTCTGGGCATAATTGGGAGAAAACATTTCTTTTGACAGCAACTTGCACTTAAGTTTCAAAGATATAAATATAATT